AGAGGCAGATATCAGAGTCAGAGGGCCAAGTGGCTGAATGCAGGAGGGAGCAGTAATGAGGCCACAGCTGGTTGGAACAAGGAGGTGCTTGAGTTGGGGATGACTTACATCATTAGGGTTCTCTGTAGGGAAGTCTTCTACAGGCGGGATGGCACCCTGAGCAATGAGCTGCCCGTAGGAGGGAGGTGCCTGTTGTTGCACAATCTCAGCCTCCATTCGGGAGAGGGGGGCAAAGATGCTGGAAGGAAGGAGGGCTAGTCAATCACTGGTGGTTCCCAGCCAGGGTGGCCTGCTCCAGCTTGGATTGGCCTCTTCCCTTCACCCTCAGGTCAGGACAGCTGGAGGTATGCTATAGCTTTCCTCAGGTCATCTTATATCCCTTCCTTCCTTGAGACTTCTTTCATAAATAATCTAGACCTGACTTTCAAGCGTTAAGCAACAAGCTGGTCACAGGAAACTCATTCCCAAGGCGGGCACCCTCATGGTCTCCTGTAGCTGCACAGGTCCTGTCTCTTCATCTGTAAAGAGTGCTCACTCTTCTATTGCCAGTCCCATTCCCACTGACCTGTACTCCTGTGTGCGAATGGCATACAGCCTGCAGGTGCATCCCAGGGCAATGACCAGCAGCAGGCCGCACACTAGACTGCCAATGACTGCAGCTGTGATGACCTTGCGGGGTAGGGCATAGGAGCAGTCCCACTCATCGCTGCCATCAGCACAGTCTGGCTGCCCGTCGCATACCCATGTCTCATACACACACTTCTCGTCTCGGCATCGGAAGTTGCCAGGCTGGCAGTGCCGGCAGCGTCTCTCATCTGCCCCATCAGCACAGAATGTCTGGTAGTTGCAGCGATCAGCAGGCAGGTAGCAGGCTGTGGCACCAGGGGTGCCAGCAGCCCCGCAGGGGAAATGTCCAGGTGGGCAACCAGGACAGTCTTCCTCATCTGTACCATCGGCACAGTCCCATGAGCCATCGCAGCGCTGGGCCTCACTATAGCAGCGCTCACCTAGGTTTTCACCAGCCCCCAGGCCTGAGCCTAACCCACATGGTCGGTCCCAAGGCAAGCAGTAGCCCTGCACATGGTAGGTAGCATTGAAGCCCCGACCATTGCTCCAAGCAACTGTGTGATAAGCAACAACAGCCTGACCAGACAGTGTCTCCACAGTGACAGCTTTGCCATTACTAAAGTGAGTGAGACTGCGTAGTAGCCGAGGGGTCTCTGGGGGCCCAGCACCATCATACACATGCACTGCATCTCCATAACCCAAGTCCAGGGCTGTGAAGCGCACTGCTAGCCGCCGGCCATCATGGGGGTCCAGCAGCCACAGGCAAGACTGGGGATGAGAGACTGAGGCCAGGTGTGAATAGCCAGGGGAGGAGAAGACCCCATAGAAGTCCTCTAAGGTGAGATTGCAGGGCAGGGTGAGGGTGGGGCCTGGGGTCAGGCTAGGAAATGGGTCTGAACTGCAGCCTGCCTCATCAGAGCCATCACCACAGGCATCAACTCCATCACAGCGCTGGGCAGCAGGTACGCAGCGGTGGTTCAGGCACTGGAATTCTTCCTGCAGGCACATCAGCCAATCTGCAGAGGCATCATGGAGAGGGACTGTGAAACACCAGAGCCCTCAGGATCTTTCTCTCTTTATTTGTGCTTGTACTGCCCTCTCTAACAGCCCTTCAGACTTCTCCGTCCAGCCTACCTTGGCTGTAAGAGAGCAGGAACCCCTGGCCCATGGGTGCTCTGGCCCCAGCATAGCTGTAAGTGATGGTGACATTGCCCCCTGGCAGCTGAAGAGGGCTAGAAGGTGCCTCACATAGGGAGATCAGTGGCTGGAGAGGGGAGCTCAGGATTACACGTTCTGAGCCACAGGCCAGGTGCAGCTTCTGGAACCTACAGGGGTAGAGAAAAGCAGTACATAAAATGTTCTTGATTGATGCTGGCTTCCTCCTCCTCCAGTGCCACCAGGCCCTTCTAGCCCAAGAAGCACAAACACCTGCTCATCCATGATTCAAATGAAAGCTCAGCCAAATTCTTTTGCAGTTAATCTCATCAATGGGCATAGTCCTAACAGAGACCAGTGACACAATGATACCATGAAATATATCCTAGAGCCATCTGGAAAAAATCTGACCTGTGTTCAGAAATTAAGTGAAAAATAGGTTTATTGCTTTTGAGTTGTTGCAGCATGTCACCCAAGTATTGTGTGGGCAATAACTGACAATTACTATACAGTTCAATTAAATAGAACTCACCAACACCCCAGTACTAGGAAGGTGAGACCTGAGATTCTCATAGCATACGGATCCCTCTGCCAAAACAGCCTCTCCACAGATTGCTTTCCCCCTTTGCCTACCCTTTTCTGAGAAAATTCATAGCAAGTGAACCATATAAGACAAACAGTCAGGTACTTAAAATGGGCCCCCATGCCATGACCCAAGGTCAGAGAAGCCTAGGGAGATGGAATGTTTAACAGATATGGAAGGGTGCTAGATTGTAGCTCAGTGGAAGAGTACTTGCCTAACATGTGTCAGGTGCTGAATTCAATCCCAAGCACTTTAAAAAACCCCACAAAAACAGATCTGAGGAAGTTAAGGAAGGTTCTAAGCTGATTAAGTAGTAGGTTGCTATTGTTTATAGTACTGGGGATTGAACCCAGGGGTGCTGTATCACTGAGCTACATTCCAAGCCCTTTTTATTTTATTTTTTAAATATTTATTTTTTAGTTATAGGTGGACACAATAACTTTATTTTTTATTTTATGAGGTGCTGAGGATCGAACTTAGTGCCTCACGCATGCTAGGTGAGCGCTCTACCTCTGAGCCATAACCCCAGCCCCTCTTTTTATTTTGAGACAGGATCTTGCTAATATTTGCCAAGCTGACCTTGAACTTGTTGTGATCCTCCTGTCTCAGCCTCCCAAGTTGGTGAGATTAGGGGCATGTACCATCACATCGGCTAGGGAGTAGTTTTTTTAATTCCAGACAGGGATGTGCAATGCTTTGAAGGACTTTTCAGAACAGTCCTGCCTGAGTCCAGGACCATTTATAGTAACCACGGTCCTTAGGAGATGTTCAGGACTTAAGCTAGATGTCCACTGCAACCCACTGTTACCATGACAGGCTGGAACAAGTCAATGTTTTAGGGTAAACTAGGCAAAATAAAATTCTACTCTTCTGTTGGCAAGGATGATAAGTCCACAAACAAGTGATCTCTGAAGATTCTTTTCCACAGTGGAGCGGGAAGGGGCAGGGGAGAGGAATGGGATCTTTCCTTGCTTCTCACCTGACTGTTACCGTCTGCTCCTTGCTACCCAGGATGAGCCAGGTGCAGTTGGCAGGGGAGCTGCGCCTGTCCCAGCCCAGGGGCCTCTGTAAGGTGCCTTGCACTTCCAAGAGCAGTGCAGGAGGGTTCTCACAAGCTGGAGGGAAAAAGGTGGAGACACTGATATAGAGCCCCTTAACATCCCACTCCTATCCAGGCTTATGACCTCCAAGGGCCTGGGCTCTTCAAGATGGAGCAGAGCCCACTGCCCCTGATAATAGTCCACTGGCCCCTCTCTCCCTCTCTCCACTCCTCCCGATTTAAATATTAACACCACAATATTGAGCTCTGCTTTGCACCAGTCACTGGGTGAGGGAGGAGGAGTAGGTAATATTTCTCTATTTTGAGGAGGACTCTTTGAGTTAGAGCAAGCAGAGACATTCCATCTGAAAAGGTACATAACAACTGCCAGGTGAGGGCCCACACTGGGTGTCAGTTTTCCCATATGTAAAATAAAAGATTGATGAACTCCACTGTAAAACTATGGCAGTTCTCATGGAATTCAGAGAAGAGAGTCATTGTCTAGGGTTCCCTTTCATCGCCAAACCCGCGGAGCCCGGGGCTCCATCTACTCACCAGGACTTGGGAAAATGTTCAGGTCTGGATGCGCCAGAGCGCCTCCTACAGGGAAAGCGAGAAAGGGCAGGGCTGTGAGTCGCTCTAAGTTTTTTTCACCTGAACAACTCAAGGAGGAAACGAAGCTGGTCTGGGACTTCTGGGCTTCCGGGGTTCATGAGAATGGGTAGTGGAGCTCAGGGGAGGCTGCCACGAGTGACCTCAAAGGCAGGTCGTCCAGCAGTGCCTGTGGGGTTGATAGGGTGATCTGGGGAAGCTAGAGAGAGGACGAAGGCTGAATGCAGCCTATGGGGACTTTCCAGAGGTTGGGGCCGGCAGCGCTGGCTGCGGTGGGGGCTGGTGGTACGGGCAGGAAGGTCCGGTTGAGTGATCGCCTAGGAGGGAGTTAGAGCCCAGTCCCAGCTCGGGCGGGGTGTCGCGCGCTTAGCTCGTCTCGGTTCTTACCAAGGAGAAGGGGGAAGAGGACAGCCGGCAGCATCCTGGGCCGTCCCGAGGAGCAGGAAGAGTCCTGGAGCTTCTGTCGTCTACCCAGTGGAGAGGCGGCGGTGCTGCGGGCGTCCCGGCTCCCCAGTGCAGCAGCCCCGCGGGGGCTCCATGGCCCTGGCTCGACCTGTGCTCCGGATGCCAGGGCTGGGGGCGGGGAGGCGCCAGCCGCCCTGAAGTAGGGGCGGTGCCTCTCGCCAACTTTGGAGTTGTTTTCTCCGGCCGCCGCCGCGCGTCCTTGCTCGGGGCCGGCAATCGAAGGCTGGGACTCGGCTCTGCCGGTGTTGGCGCGCGCCCTCGCCTAGAGCCGGCCCGCAGGCCGCGAATGCCCCTCTCCAGGCCTGGCCGCCACCTGCCGGGGCTGGAGGCCACTTCCTCTTCGGTCCAAACTTTGGGGACTGTCAGACTCCAGGGCTGGCCGGGCGCGGCTCAACTTCCCCAGCGCGTCCAGCCCGCGGAACGCGACTGGGAAGCAGGGGAGGGGGAGAGGCGGCTGGGCCCGGCTCCCTGGCCCTCACCCAGGCAGTACCCTAGGCTGCTCTGGAGTCCTAGCAGCAGGGGCGGAGGGAGGGGCGGGTGGCGAGTCTGGTCCCACCCCTGCCAATCAACCCGCGGGCCCCGCCCACCTGCTTGCCTTAACCCCTTTCCGGCCCTGGCTGGGACTTGCCCAGCCGGCCCTTGACAAACAGCTTCAGCTTCCACTTTAACCCTGCTTTGGCTAGACTTTCTTTTTTTTTTTGGTTTTTTGTTTTTTGTTTTTTGTTTTTTTTAAAGATAGAGTGAGGGGGGAGAGAGAGAGAGAGAATTTTTAATATTTATTTTTTAGTTTTCGGCGGACACAACATCTTTGTTTTGCATGTGGTGCTGAGGATCGAACCCGGGCCGCACGCATGCCAGGAGAGCGCGCTACCGCTTGAGCCACATCCCCAGCCCCTGGCTAGACTTTCTTTCTTTTTTAAATACTTTTGATTGCACATGGACACAATACCTTTATTTTGTTATTTAGTTTTTTTATGTGGTGCTGGGAGTCGAACCCACTGCCTCACTCTCGCGCTAGGCGAGCGCTCTACCACTGAACTACAACCCCAGCCCTTGGCTAGACTTTTGAGTGTAACTTATTTTTTGTTACAGGATGCGTTTATAACATGTTTGTCAAAGATCATGCAATTCTATAGATATAATGGCTTTCCTTTGAACCCTTAAGTTCTCAGTACTTTTTCTTGTCCCAGTGCCTGAAATCTAGTAGCACTTTTGGTAGTGAGCTTTTGGGTAGCAATTACCACACGGTATTGTAATCATTTGTTGTGGCATTTATTTATGCATAATTCCCGACCCTACCCCGCCCCTTCTCTGGAAACTGAAACTTCCTGTAGGCTGAGGCCTAGACTGTTTACCTTTGTACCCACAGAGATTTTCTCCTGCACACGGTAAGAACTCAATAAATGATAGGTAAATATGTGAATAAATATGATTTTACTACATGCTGCCTATGTGATCTTAAGAAAACTACTTAACCTCTCTGTGTGTCTCTATTATAAAATGAGGTTTATAACAGTGTAATTCCCTCTTGTTGTTGTGAACATTTAGGAAGATAATGCAAGTTAAGTACTAAAGCACACTGCCAGACTAGAGACAGTGCTCTATATCTGATGGCAACTATTATTAGCAATCACAGGACATATTTCTAGTTTATGTAGGGTTAGGGTTACTGATTTCCTATGACAGGGATAGATAATAAACAATAACTAATTGCAAACAAATGTATGTGCATCATATTTTCTTTATCTATTCATCTGGTGATTCATAGGCTGATTCTGTTCTTAGCTATGATGAAAAGTGGCACAATAAAGCACGAGCATGCGTGTATCTCTTTTGTATGCTGACTTCACTTCCTTCAGATATTTACCCAGGAGGTGTTTACAGCCCGACCAAATGGTAGTTCTATTTTCAGTTTCTTGAGGAACTTCCATGCTGTTTTCCATAGTAGCCATACTAATTGACCTTCCCACCAGCAGTGTAAAAGTGTTTTTTTTTTTTTTCCATATCCTATCGACATTTGTTGTTGGGTCTTTTTTTGTTTGTTTTTATTTGGGGTTTTTCTTTCTTTCTGATAATAGCCATTCTAACTGGGGTTAATTGCAAACCTTTTTTAGCCTCTCTCCCCCAATATTTCAGCCAAAGACTTAAGTAAGCACTTAACTACATATATAGTAAATATGTATTTGTTCATTTAATTTTTTCAACAACCCTGTGAACTAGATACTATGGTGACTCCCATTTTGCATATAAAGAAATGCAAGCATGGATAAGTTAAGTATTTTGCCCAGGATCTAGTATAGGTTGAGCATCACTAATCTGAAAATTCAAAATCCAAAATGCTCCCCAAATCCTAAATCTTTTGAGCATCAGAGTGACACTATAGTGGAAAATTCTGCCCCATGAAACTTTGGTTCAGGCACAAAATATTAAAACTATTGTATAAAATTACTCTCAGGCTGTGTGTATAAGTAGTTTATGAAACATGAATGAATTTCATGTTTAGATTTGGGTTCCATCCCCAATATTTCTCAATAGGTATCTGCACATTTTTTAAATATTTATTTTAGTTGTAATTGAACGCAATACCTTTGTGTTATTTATTTATTTTTTATGTGGTGCTGAAGATTGAACCCAGGGCCTCGAACATGCTAGGCAAGCACTCTACTGCTGAGCAACAACCCCAGCCCCTAGGTATATGCAACATTTTTTAAAAATTCCAAAATGCTTCTGGTCCATGAGTTTCAGTTAAGAGGTACTCAGCCTGTAAATGGTGAAGTTAAGGATTGAACCTGAGTGATCTTGGCTCTGGATAGACAAATTCTGATCTTTACTACTCTTTTCCCTCTACAAATCATATCAAACCCTTCTCTATTAATGCCTTTTGTTGCTTATGGACCTCAGTATAACCTGAAGCCATAGAGTTAGTGGTATAAATGCACTTCCTCCCTTGGACCTTGGTTCCATGCCCTAACTATCTCTACTCTCCCCAATGACAGTAGGATTTGATAGGACCCTGAAGGTAGGGGGAGGATGCAAAGGGAAGCAGGGCAAAGAGGTTGGGAAACTGAATCATTTAAGTCCTAAAAGAACTTATGGAGTTTTGGTGTGAGTGTTGGCTGTGCTCCCTGTGCTAGGTACCTGGCAGGTGTCCCTGGGTTAAATCCACAGTACCAAAAGATGGCCTTGTCTCAAATTTGAAGGGTTAATTATTATTATTATTATTTTCAGTGTTGGAAATGAATCCCAGCACCTCACTCATGCTAGGCAAGTGTTCTATACTGGGCTGCATCACCAGCCCTTGAGGGGTTAATATTTAAGAGTGAATTCAAGAATCAGAGAAAGAGGAAGAGGGGTAGGGAGAAGAAATAAAGAGAATATTAGGAGAAAATTAAAGAGTCTAGGTCCATATATTTTTGTTTTGTTTTTGTGTTAGTGGGGATTGAACCTAGGGGTACTCTAACTGAGCCACATATCTTCCCCTTATTTTATTTTGAGTTGCCCAGGCTAGCCTTGAACTTGTGATCTTCCTGACTCAGCCTCCCTAGTTGCTGAGCCTGCAGGTATGTGCCACTGCGCCTGGCTTAGGTTCACGTAAATCATATTTAGACCACAAGTATCTTTGGGAATGGGCCTGTAGAAACATTCTTGGAAATCTTTAGGGAATTATTGAAAATAGTGGAAGTAATGGAAAAGGGCAGATATTTAGTTTAGGTTTTTTTTTTCCGTATTGGCGACTGATCCAGGGCACTTTACCATTCAGCTACATCTCCAGCCCGCCTCCTCCACCTTTTTTTTTAAAAGACAGGTTTTGCTTAAGTTGCTTAGGGCCTTGCTAAATTGCTGAGGCCGGCCTCAAACTTGCTAACTTCCTGCCTCACCCTCTGGAGTCACTGGGATTATAGGCATGTGCCTTTGTGCCCAGCAGATATTTAGGTTTGTTTTTTTTTTTTAATATTTATTTTTTAGTTGTAGTTGGACACATACACTTATTTTATTTATTTATTTTTATGTGGTGCTGAGGATCAAACTCAGGGACTCCCACATGCTAGGCGAGCGTTTTACCACTGAGCCACAACCCTAGCCCCAGATATTTAGTTTTTAAAATATCTTTTTTATGCTAGGTACTGTTTAAAACACTTCACATACATTATCTCATTTAATGCTCATCACACCTCAAGGAAGTAGGTATTATTTTTGTCCTTGTTTTAAAATTGAGGAAACTGAGTCACGATCAGATAACTTGCTCAGATCTAAATATTTTTTTTTTTTAAAGAAGGAAAGACATGAAGAAACGTTTTATAGGATTTCTTTCTTTTTTTTTTAAAGAGAGAGTGAGAGAGAGGGAGAGAGAGAGAGAGAATTTTAATATTTATTTTTTAGTTTTTCGGCGGACACAACATCTTTGTTTGTATGTGGTGCTGAGGATGGAACCCGGGCCGCACGCATGCCAGGCGAGCGCGCTACCGCTTGAGCCACATCCCCAGCCCCCAGATCTAAATATTATTACCATGTACAAGAACCTAAACTTGAATCAAGCTGTCTGGATCAGAGTCCTTGCTGTTAAACATGATAGATTCTAGAATATTCACAGCAAGGACTTTCAAACCTGGCTAATTTCTAGACTAGATTTTAAAACAGATGGCTTGTGACTATGCAAATAACCTGTCAATCATTCACCTGTCTGCTTTCAGATTCATTCTTCTATCTCTTCTTGTAAACTACATTTCCCAGGCTTCTTTGCAGAGTGACTTTGGTCTAGGTTCTGCTATTAGGAGGCTTGGTGGAAAGCTGGAGGGGAGGGGAAAGGAGGATCCAGGATGTACACTGTCTCTCTGCTTCAGCTTTATTTTCAGTAGGAACTATACATCTTCTATGGTACTAGGTCTCTCTAGGAAGCCCGACCTCCTCTCTTCTTCCAGCTTCCTGCTGTTGCTAACCCATGGCCTATCTCAACATCTCCTTTTTGGCTTTTTAGCAATTTAATCATATTTATGACTATATTTCTGTTAAATTTCTTCTCTTGACTGTCTGGCATGGGCTATTTTCCTGACTAGATCCTGATCCATAAGGATAATTGCCAAGGAAGTTGGCATAGTTTACCAAGAAATAGACACATTATTCTAAAATAATTCTTTTTGGGAGTATTACTTAGGCAGTACCATAAACGCAGACAATCTGGATTTAAGCCAATAGGAAAATCTGGGTTGAACTAGCAGTCTCAGACTGAAGTATGTTCATGGTAAACACATCAAAACTGATGTCAAGGGGCATCCCTTGGAGTATAGCTCAGTGGTAGAGCACTTGCCTAGCATGCACAAGTGCCTGGGTTTAATCCCCAGGACCCTACACACACACAATCCCTAAAACTTGACATCAATCTGGAAAATCCCAGTTAACATATAAAAAATTAATTATCTGAATGAATGAAGATGCAGAAAGTAAGTTAATCATGTTTTTTTCTTTTAATTTTTTATTTGTTCTTTTTAGTTATACATGACAGTAGAATGTATTTTGACATATCATACAAAATTAATCAGATTTTAAGATGAACATGAATTGGAATTGAAAGGTAGAAGAGAAACGGGGAGTGGTAGCACATGCCTGTGAGCCCAGCTACTCAGGGTCGGGGCTGAAGCTGAAGGATTGCAGTTTCAAGGGCAGCTGAGCAATTTAGTGAGACTGTCTCAAAATGAAAAGCAAAGGGATGGAGTGTAGCTTAGTTGTAGAGGACCCCTGGGTTCAATTCTCAGTATCCCCCCTACACACACACACACACACACACACGCACACACACACACAGAGAAGGGATGGGAATGTTGCACAGTGGTAGAGCAGTTTGTTAAGCCCTTGGTTCAATCCCCAGTATGCTTAAAAAAAAAAAAGACTAAAGATTTTGACCACCTAAAACAATGGATCTAGAGTATCTACAATGACAGAAAAAACTCCAAAATTCTACACTTAGGTTAAAACACCAACTTACAAAAAGGATAGCTGACTTAACCATTGTTTGTATAAAAAGGAATAAAATATTTCAGATGGTTCTAAATGCATGTGAATAAATAACATAGTGCAATCGCATGAATACTAGAGAAGCAGTATGGAGTCAGCCTCGCTGGGTTCAAATCCCAGTTTTACCTTTTATTTAAGTTGAATGACATTAGCAAACATTTTATTTCTGTATGTCTTAGTTTGTCCATGAATAAAATGGGGATGATGATAATGTTAATGTTTAGCTATCTACTTCTGTATAGCAAATTACTCTAAATTCAGTGGTTTAAATCCACTAACATTTATTTTCTCATTGGTTTTCTGGTTCAGCAATTCAGAAGCAGTGGATAATTCTGGCTTAATTGCAGTCATCTAAAGGTTTGGGGATGGATAATCCATCTCCAAAATGACTCACCTGCTTGGCAAGTAAGTTATTAGCTGTTGGCAGGAAGATCCAGTCCCTTTCCATGTGCCGATCTCCACAGTATTTGCGTATCCTCATGATAAGGCAGCTGGCTTCCCCCAGAAAGATCAATCCAAAATAAAGCAAAATGGAAATTACGATGTTTTTAATACCAAGTGTCAGAAATCATACTCCATCATTTCTGCAGTATCCCTTTAATTACATAGGTCACTCTTCTGCTTTATAGGAAAACACATATTAAGAGATAAGGATCTTTGGGATCCATCCTGCAGGATCTGGACAATGATCTGCCTTCTAGTCCCCAAAGATGCGTGTCCCTTACATATGCAAATTTGCTTAATTCTCCTGAGGCACCCCAAAGTCTCATCTCTTTATTATGTCAGCTTGAAGTCCAGAATCTTCTTGTCTAAAATAGATCCATGGCCCTTACCTAGTATGTGTGAAGACCTGGATTCAATCCCAGTACCACAACAAAATAAAAAGAAATAACAGGGCCAGATACAGATGAGGCTCCCCAGGACTAATTCCTTAAGTACAGCTCCTTGAGTACAGTTCCTGTTGATCTGAAAAACCTATGAACTAAAGAGAGAATTTATATTCCCTGCTTTGGCCCATCATAGTGGTGGGATGTGGGATTAGCACAGGATAACTTCTATAGTTGTTCCTACTTGAAAAATGGGAAAATGGATATACAAAAGACTTACTTGTCCATAGAAATTCTAAAATCCAACAGAAGCTGGATGCAGTGGCACATACCTATAATCTCAAGGGCTGGGAAGGTGGAGGCAGGAGGATTGTGAGTTCAAAACCAGCCTCAGCAATGGTGAGGCACTAAACAATTTAGCAAGACCCTGTCTCAAAATAAAAAATAAAATGGGGGATTGGGGCTGTAGCTCAGTGGTAGCATGCTTGCCTAGCACATGGGAGGCACTGGGTTCGATCCTCAGCACCCTATAAAAATAAATAAAGGGGCTGGGGATGTGGCTCAAGCGGTAGCGTGCTCACCTGGCATGCGCATGGCGCTGAGTTCGATCCTCAGCACCACATACAAATAAAGATGTCCACCGAAAACTAAAAAATAAATATTAAAAATTATCTCTCTCTCTTAAAAAGAAAGAAAGAAAGAAAGATATCCTGTCCATCTGCAACTAAAAATAATAAATAAATAAAATAAAATGGGCTAGGGATGTGGCTCAGTGGTAAAGCGCCCCTGGGTTCTATCTCAAATACAACAAATCAAAACAAAAGAACAGCAACAAATCCAACAGAATACAGATTGGTCATTCCTTGATTAGAATTCAAAGCCTGAGCATAATTTTCCATAGCTCTTGGCTCCAAGTGTAGACTCCTTCTAAGAAAGCCTTCTAAGTTTTCCTTTTCCATAAAAGATAGCCCATGCTTTGAACTGTGTGGTTTTCTTAGCCTGATTTTTGCTGTAGAAGACTGAAGGTTAAAAGCCCTCTTCACATTTTTTATTGTCTCTGTCATTTTCTTTTTTTTAATATTTATTTTTTAGTTGTAGATGGACAATACCTTTATTTATTTATCTTTATGTGGGACTGAGGCTTGAACCCAGTGCCCCACACATGCTAGGTGAGTGCTCTACCACTAAGCCACAGCCCCAGCCTCTTATTTATTTATTTTTATGTGGTGCAGAGGATAGAACTCAGGGCCTCACACATGGTAGGTGAACACTCTACCTCTAAGCCACAACCCCAGCCCCATTCTTAGATCTTTTTTTAATTTTTAATTTTTATTTTTTGGCAGTTCTAGATGGACAGCATGCCTTTATTTTATTTATTACTATTTTTTTTTTTACGTGGTGCTGAGGATCAAACCCAGTACCGCACACACGTGAGGCAAGTGCTCTGACACTGAGCTACAACCCCAGCTCCCCTTAGATCTTAATAAAGGAAGTTATCTTAATAAATGCATCTCTATTTTCTGAAAATACCCTAGATTTGATGTTTTCCTAGAAGCCATTTTAAACTTTCAGCATAATATGCTATCTAGAGAGACTGAGAATTTAAAAATCCAGCATGCCCATACTCCCAGTGGCTTGAGAGGGTGAGGCAGGGGGATCGAAAGTTTAAAGCCAGCCTCAGCAACTTATTGAGGCCCTAAGCAACTCAGTGAGACCCTGTTTTGAAATAAAGTACAAAAAAGGGCTGGGTATGTGGCTTAGTGGTTAAGTGCCCATGAGTTCAATTCCCAGCACCTAAATAAATAAATAAAATATAACAATTTCTGTCTCCCTTTTCTTTGTCTTTTTTCCCCCTTTCCTTTTCTTTTAAACAGTATCCCCCCACCCCCAGCTTATCTCTCTCTTCTCATATTTTAAACATCAAAAAAGAAACCAGGTGTCATCTTCAATGCTTTGCCTGAAAGTCTTTTTATATTTCCCATTAAGTAGCTACATTTTCTTCTTTTCACATTACTACAGGTTAACTACTGAAACTAAACTTGCTTCATAAAAATCCTCTTTTTAGTTTCAAAAACACTTCCTTGTTTTCCTTTAAATCTTCCCTGGCTGTCTCTTTAAAGGCCCTTATGTTTCTACTGGTCACTTTAAGGCATTTGAGACTTCCATTAACATTCTTCTCAAAGTCTTCCAATTTTTCTCCTTTTCCTGATTGCATAGTCAGTCTTACCTTTTATGTTCATCATAGCAGGCTATGTTCCAGTGCCCAAATCTATATTAGTTATCTATTGCTGGATGACAAATTTCCTCACAATATAAACAGTTTTAAAATTTATTTTTGAAATACTGGCGATAGAACCCAGGGATGCTCTAATCCTGAGCTACATCTTCACCTTTTTTATTTTATTTATTTTTTTGGTACTGGGGATTGAATTTAGGGGCACTCACCACTGAGCCGTATTCCCAGCCCTATTTTGTATTTTTTTTTTTTTTTGTACCAGGGATTGAACTCAGGGGCATTGAACCACTGAGCCACATCCCCAGCCCAATTTTGTATTTTATATAGAGGCAGGGTCTCACTGAGTTGCTTAGTGCCTTGCTCTTGCTGAGTCTGGCTTTGAACACGTGATCCTCCAGCCTCAGCCTCCTGACCCACTGGGATTACAGGCGTATATTTTTGATTTTGAGACAGGGTCTTCCTAAATTGCCAAGGCTGGCCTTAACACTTGCTATCCTCCCGCCTCAGTCTCCCACATCTCTTGGATTACAGTCATGCACCACTGTGCGTGATTGATTGTTTACTCTTGGAAGTCACATAGTGTCACTTCTCCCAGATTCTATAAGAAACAGATCACCAAAGGCCAGACCACATTCCAGGAGATGAATTAGTTTTTTCTTTTGAAGAAAGGAGTATCAAAGAATTAGTGACTTGGCACAAAGTAAGCATTATATAACAGTTAGGGATGATTATTCCACTGATCAAATTACATTGAACGATTGTCTTAATAATAATGAGTATTTACACTCTGCTAAAAGGTTCTATCCTTCCTCTGTTCCACTCCAAACGCTTCCTATTTCAGTCAGAGTAAGAGCCATTTTCTGCAATAGCTTACAAGGCACTATAGGATCTTGTCTTGTTACGTGTGTCTGATCTCCTCTCTTGCTATTCTCTTCCATTCTGTTCCAGCCACACTACCATATTCTGAGGTTTTAATCTGGCAGGCATGCTCTCACCTCAGGGTCTATGGTATATGCTATTATTTTTAATATTCTTCTTACCAAGAACAACCTGGCTTGTTCCATGGTAACCTCTGTTAGTGGGTCCTTCCCTGGCAACACTACCTGAGATTACGTCTCCAATTCTTTCTCTTCTTCAACTGACTCTTCTTCTTAGCACTTATCACTCTCTAGTATTCTATATTTTACTTCTTTGTCACATTTACTGCCTGCTCCTCTCACGAGAATGTAAGTTTCATGAGGGCAAAGATCTTTTTGTTTACGGTTATGTCTGCAGTACCAAAAACAAATTCTGGCACTGGTGGGTACTCAATAAATCCTTTCATATGTGTGTGTGTAGTGCGGGGAGGTGCTGGGGATCAAACCAGGGCCTAGCACATGTTAGGCAGATGCTCTACCACTAGGTTACCTTCCAAGCTACTTTTAAAATGTTTAATTTTTGCCGGGCACAGTGGCACATGGCTGTAATCCCAGCAGCTCAGGAGGCTGAGGCGGGAGAATCATGAGTTCAAAGCCAGCCTCAGCAATGGTGAGGCGCTAAGCAACTCAGTGAGACCCTGTCTCTAAATAAATACAAAGTAAGTCTGGGGATTTGGCTCAGTGGTTGAGTACCCCTGCCCTAAATAAGTAAGTAAGTAAATAAATAAAAAATATTGTGTCCATCTACAACTAAAAAAAAAAAAAGTGGATTTTTTGAAAAAAAAAATGTTTAATTTTGAGACAGGGTGCCGCAGTCCGGCTGCAGCAAAATAACTGGGGGGGGGGGCGGGTGACGAATAACTTGTGTACGTTGATACAGCAGGAGTAGGAGCCGTTTATTGCAGGACAGGAGCAGTATTTATACATTCCACACAGCTTATCTAATTAGCATAAACTAGATACATCAATCAACCAATAAGGAATCTCCACACTTAATGGCTCGATTTTGTTACTTCTCAAACCACTCCCTCTGGCATTTTGCCAGGCACCATCCAGACTTGTTTACGAACTCTAACATTCCCCTGGCAAAATGCCAGGTGTTATTTTGACTTGTTTACAGACTCTAACAACAGGGTCTCATATGTTGCCAAGGATAGCAAGTTTAAAGCCATCAGCCTCCCGAGGAATTGGGATCACAGATGTGTGCCACCATGACCAGCAAGAAATGCTTGCTGAATGAATAGATGAAACAATGATTCATCAGGGACGTCTTTTAATCCACTCAGCTGTCCTTCATATTATTATTTGTGCTTTAAAGATGAGGAAACCGAAGCTCAGGGAGGATAATTTATAGGAAGTCACTGAGTAGGAAGTAATAAAGATTGGATTGAGATCCAGATTGTGTAATTCCAGAATACTCACCACTAATCAAAAATATGATACTGCTTCTCCATGCACTGGAAAAAGCCACTCTTTAAAAGATTAATAAAATGAAATACCTCAGTTCAGAGGAAGGTAATAGGATGTTGAGGGGTCTCTAAGCCATGTCATGTAAGAAGCTATTTATGGGACTAGAAAGGCGTTTCTTTTCTTTTTTAAATTTATTTTTTAGTTGTAGATGGACACAATGTCTTTATTTTTATGTGGTGCCGAGGATCGAACCCAGTGCCTCACATGTGTGAGGCAAGCACTCTATTGCTGAGCTATAGCACAAGCCCCCTAGAAAGGCTTTCAATAAAGAAAAGTTTAATGAGCAACAGAATTCATGAAAACTATAGATTCAGATATTTGATGGGCTGTATGTAATATGAAATAAGAATTTGTATATTGTATTTAATTTGAAGGATAGAAACTGGAATTAACAGAGCATATGAATAAGGTCAGAGCTACCAGTGGTAGGGTGTTCATGCACAAGGCCCTGAGTTCAATGAATATGAAGAAAAAGAGAAAGAGGAGGAAGTTCAGTTGACTCTCCACTTGAGGTGTAGAGGTGAGGTCGTGGGTTGGTATAAAATGACACTTATCTGGCCATTCAGTTTTCCTTGAAAAGGTGACTTGGTTCATGAGAGACAAGGGGAATGGGAGCTTTAAATTGTGTTAGATGCTAAAATGAGGCCAAAGAAAGTACAGACTGAGGGAAGAAAGGGGTCATGAAGGCCTCATAGGAAGCAGTTTCAGTAAATGCCTGGTGGCTTTTTTTTAAACTTCTGTTGCTAGAGATTGAATCCAAGGGTGCTCTACTCCTGAGCTAAAACCCAGTCCTTTAAAATTTTTTTTCAAAAATTTTCAAATTTCAGGGGGCTGGGGATGTGGCTCAAGCGGTAGCATGCTCACCTGGCATGCGTGTGGCCCAGGTTCGATCCCCAGCACCACATACAAGCAAGGATGTTGTGTCCGCCAAAAACTAAAAACAAAAAAAAATTAATTAATTAAAATTCTCTCTCTCTCCCCCCCCCCCTCACTCTCTCTTTAAAAAAAAATTTTTTTTTCAAATTTCAGGGCTGAGGTTGTGGCTCAGTGATAGAGCGCTCGCCTCACATGTGCAAGGCCCTGGGTTCGACCCTCAACACCACATAAAAATAAATAAGTAAAATAAAGGTATTATGTACAACTACAACTAAAAAATAATTTAATTTTTTTTTCAAATTTCAAAATTAAATTTTGAAAAAATGGAATATTACTCGTCTTTAAAGAAGAATATAATTATGGCATTTGCTGGTAAATAGATGAAGTTGGAGAATATCATGCTAAGTGAAATAAGCCAACCCCCAAAAACCAAAGGCCAAATTTTTTCTCTGATATGCAGGTGCTAATTCACAACAGAGGTGGGGGGGGCACTAGGGAAGAATAGAGTTACTTTATATTAGGTAGAGGGAAGTGAAGGAGGAGAGGTGATACGGGGACAGGAAACATATTAGAATGAAACAGTTTTTATTACTTTATGTTTATATATGGCTGCATGACTGATGTAATTCTACAACATATACAATCAGAAGAATGAGAAATTATATCCCATTTATGTATGATATATCGAAATGCATAAATGCATTATACTGTCAGGTATAACTAATTTGAACAGATAAAAAAATTATAAAGTTTAAGAAAAAAACAGGTGTGGGAATGTCTGCTTCTAATTATCCTTGCTACTTTTTAAGTCTTTGTCAATCTGCTAATCTGACAGGTAAATAAAGATATATAATAAATATTTTAATTTAAAAAAGGTGAAATTGGGCTGGGATTGTGGCTCAGCGGTACAGCGCTCGCCTAGTATGGGTGGGACCCGGGTTCAATCCTCAGCAACACATAAAAATAAAGGCATTGTGTTGTGTCCATCTACACCTAAAAAATAAATGTTAAAATAAATAAAAAATAAAAAAGGTGAAATTGAGACTGGGTCTATATTGCCCATGCTGGCCTTGAACTTGTGATCTTTCTGGGATTACAAGATGCTCCACTTATAAAATGCATGGGTTGCAGATGTAGAGGTTGGGTTAAAAACAAATGACAAGTGAAAGAATGTAGACAGCTCTAAAAAACTTTGGCTTGAGAGAACAGGAAAAAATGGGGGAAAATTATGCAGTATCCAAGAGAGAGTTTTTCATGATGAGGAAACCTCTTTGTCTGAAAGGAGAGGTAGAGTTGAAGACACTACCATATGGTTACAAGAGCTAGTTTATGGTCTGGAAAAGAATGAAAAACAGTTTAACAACTCCTTCTCCTCCTCCTCCCCTCCTCCTCCCCTCCCCCTCTCCCTCCCCTCCTCCTTCTTCTCCTTCTCCTCCTTCTCCTTCTCCTTCTTTCTAGTGCCAGGAATTGAACTCAGGGGCACTTAATAACTGAGCCACATCCCCAGTCCTTTTTTATATTTTATTTATTTAGAGATGGGGTCTTCCTGAGTTGCTTAGGGCCTCACTGAATTGCTGAGGCTGGCATTGAACTTGTGATTGTCCTGCCTCAGCCTCCTGAGCCTCTGGGATTACAGGAGTGCCACTTCCCCGGGTCGGTTTAACTTTTTATGTGGGCTGGGGGCACACCTCCCTGGTTTGGGAGTGACCTCAATCATATCCATTTTTTCAGCCTGTGATATATTATAAAATTAAGAAATATTAAAATGGTTTTTAAATGCTTGGTATATTTAAAATACTTATGAAAAAAATTAGCACAAACAATGCAATAATATAATGCTGTTTATAAGATATCTACAGGAATTTTTTTAAACTACAAAATTAGAAATGTAAGGACCTTTAATAAATGTGAGATTGGGACACCAGGGATTCTCCTGGCCCTAGGCTGGGAAGAAGATAAGAGGATGCTGCAGGTTGTAAACCTCCCACGAGGCATGGGTTTGACTTCCAAATGACTCAGGTAGGTGAAAAACAAAAGAAGTCCCATTTTTAGGTAAATGGGACACGAGACTTTCTTACCCCACCCCTTAACCCCCCTTGGGAGTTCTAGGATAGCACTCTGGTCCTGGAGTCAGGTCTCACCTGAATTCTGACCCTGGGATCCAGGAGACAGGCATCCTGGGGTGAGCCGTGTCGGAGGCATCCACAGGAGGGCAGTGTGGCAACTCGGAAGCGCTCTGAGAAGAGGTCGCAGAAGGGCTTCCCATCCTCTCTCCGGTTGGCCCTCTGTCCCTTAGGTACCCGCTCCACTCTCTTTCCAGAGTCGGTCAGGGCTGCCCGCCTACTCCCGCACTGGGACACCAGACGGAAACTCTGACTTTTTCCTCTCTGTAACTGGCAAGGCTAAGAACGTCTGGTCGGCCTCTCTTCCCCAGAGTCCCACTCCTTTAAGTACAGGTGTCCAGGGTGGAATCATAGGAAGTGGAAAGGGGGAAGGGATAGGTTGGTGGTTTCGGTGGTCCTGGGATGGTGGTGATGTTGGGGCGGGGGGGGGGGGGCGCGGGGGTTGCCATGCTTTTCTCAATTCTTCAGGTCAGGCTTGCAGCTCCAACACTCAACACAAGGGGGCGCTACCATACTGCAAACCCTGCCTAGACGGCCTCTGCTGGAGAGCATGGTGGCCCCAGGCACAATGGAATGGGATGAGTGTTCCTCCAGATCCCTTCCCGGGCTTTCCTCCACTTGGAACTTATGCAAGGGTAGGGATGTAGGACAGTTGTAGAGGGCTTGTGTAGCAAGGCAGTGGGTTTGATCTCTGAAAACACACACACACACACACACACTCCTATCTTGTGCAGGGTTAGTCTTGTGCAGGAATAGTTTGGGGGCATCCCTGGATCCCAGGCCAGTAAAGTAGAGGAACCAGTTTAGAAACATCTGGCCATGGGACGTTAGAAAAGTGTAGGTAAGAGACCCCTCCCTGCTGGACACTCCAGGTAAGGGTACAGGCTGGGCTGGGGTGCAACCTGAAGGCTTGATATTTACCGAAGAGTTGGGTCATCACAGCTGGAAATTGATCACTCCCAGGTTAAGAACAGGCTGTAGGTATAAGTGGTAGGCCCTGTAGGGACAAAGTAGGAGGTATGAACCTCTTTACATCAGTATATTCTTCCTTCCTTCCTTTTTTGCAGTGCCAGGGATTGAACCCAGGGCCTCACACGTACTAGGTAAGTGCTCTTGCACTGAACTACATCCCCAGCCCTTTTTTATTTGATTTTTTATTCTACTTTAAGTTTTCCAGGCTGCTCTTGAACTTTTTTTTTTTTTTTTTTTGGTACTGGTATTGAAACCAGGGGTGCTTAATCACTGAGCCACATCCCCAGTCCTTTTTTATATTTTATTTTGGGACAGAATTTCACTGAGTTGCTTAAGGTCTCACTAAATTGCTGAAACCGACCTTGAACTCCTGATCCTCAGATCCTCTTGCCCCAGCCTCCCAAGTTGCTGGTATTATAGGTATGCCCTGCAACACCTGGCTGTCCTAGAACTTTTGTTGATCTTTCTGCCTCAGCCTCTGGGGTAGCTGTGATTACCGGTGTGTGCATCATGCCCAATCTTTTCTTCCTTTTACAAACATTTTAGGGGGCTGGGGTTGTGGCTCAGTGGTAGAGTGCTTGCCTAGCATGCATGAGGCACGGGGTTCAATCCCTAGCACCACATAAAATAAAAACTAAATAAACAAAATAAAGGTATCATGTCCATCTACAACTAAAAATATTTTTAAAAAACCCCCCAAAACAACATTTTAGGGGCTGAGGCTGTAGCTCAGTGGTAAAGTGCTTGCCTTGCATGTTTGTGGCACTGGGTTCAATTCTCAGCACCACATAAAAATAAAGATACTGTGTGTTCATCTACAACTAAATAAAAAAAAATTTTTAAAGATCAAGGTGAGATATACATTTTACAAAGTCCATGAAGTATAAATATATATCTCTGATTTTTCAGCTTACATATTCAGTACTTGTATATACACAATACTTATGTAGGTATGTATACAATACTTACATAATCACAACTACTGCTGACAATTCAATTTAACAAACCTTTATCCAGTGCCTTCAGTGTGCCTAGCACTATCTTACTCTTTTGTAAGAAAAGTGAGGGCAGAACATGTTTATCGGTGGCTGTGATGGGGTCAGTATTATGAACAGTAGGAGTTCCTTGACAGAACTACACTATCAGTGTCTGGTAAAGGAAAGCAACAGCTGTATGATCTGATCCTAGTGGCCATCATTTTGTGATCTAAAGAAGATAGAATTGTCTGCCATGTCTGAATATACTCAACCAAAGACCCTCAGATACATTATTGGATTCAGGAAATGTTGTCAGGGCAGCCACGCTCCTAGCCCAAAGTCAGGCACTGAACAGAGAGAGAGAACATTCTGAGAATTGATCTTGTTCTCTAGCCCAGTGGTACATATCTCTGGGAGCTGGCTAAAGAAGGGTGACTGACCACAGAACAAATCAAAATGACTAGAGCCTGTGGCAGATGTGAATTCGCTAGGCCTTCTAAGAGGCTGACTTCCCCCTCCCTTTGTGGGCATCCTGGCCTTGCCCGATCCAAATCCCATGCTGCCCCAAGTCAGGGAAGTGCGCCTAAGTGGGAAATCAAGTGAGCAAGCAGGATGTGACCCAGAGCAAGGTAGCTCCCAGGCCAGGCTGGCCCCTGAGTCAAGGAGCTACTTTAGGCACTCAAAGGAAACCCTTCCGCCCATTCACTGCAGTGTCACCTCCTCTTCTGTCTGCTCTACTATCCTTCTCTACACAGGGGTGGTCTTTGGGGGCAGAGGACTGGTCTCTTTTTCCTCTAAACCATGAGGGCTACGTGGCTGAGGAATGAGGGATTTTGAGGGGAGCTGGCTTCAGCATGGAGGCAGAGGAAGATGCTTCCTGGGGGTATGATGACAGCCCTGATCTGGGGTGTCCAGTGATCCCACTGTGGAACCCTTGGGGCCAGGACTGATGGCAGGGGAGGACACAGGGGGCTGGGCCTGGCTGGGGAAGGCTGGCCTGGAAGGAGCTGAGCCATCGGCGCTGGGCCAGAGTGGAAAGTATGTGTGTGAGCTCATTTGGAAGGTGGCTTCTGGCCAGTCAGCCTTCCAGGCCCTGGCTGCCTAGGCCCCTCACAGGCTGCCTCTAGGTCTCCCCAGTCTCCCAAGCCTGTCTGAGGGAGAAAGGCAGTAACCCCCAGGAATGGGCTAATGTTGCAGAATTTGTTCTAGAGGAGGGGAACTTGGATTAGTGGATGGTAGGAAAGGGGTTACAGGGGCTGCAGGATGATAGGGCAGCCCCCAGGCCCTTGAGCATAGTCATCTACCACCCCACCTTTCCCCTAGCTGCTATCATGGTCTTCCTCAGAGTCTTGGTGCACCCTTCTTTCCTTCAGAGTGCCTGCTCCTGTCCCTGAGAAGGGAGGTGATGGAGTTCCTGGGGAGGAACCCTTCTACCCTGCATGCCTACCTGCTATACGGAAGCTGCTACAGAACATAATAAGCAGAACCGCACATGCTGACAGATCCCCAGAACACACTGCCATGAAGACACCTATCTACCTAGGGTCTACACTGGAAGAGACACCAAAGAGACAGTGTCAGAATTTGCTTGCACAGGAGAAAGAAGAAGAAAAGTCCTATAAGGTTTTAAAATTTGGATGAGTAAACTGTGACCTTAGCAAGTGATTAATCTTTCTGAGCCTCAGTTTCTTTCTGCATCACTGCATGTTGTGAGGATCTCAGTGAATGCTAGCTTCCCCTTTGTTGGAAATGGAAAGCGTATGCAGGGGGGATAGAGAGGACTGGCAGGCCTGTCAGACTGAAGAGGGGGGTCCTGGGGGAGAACAACAGAGGACCAGCAGGCTAACCAGATTGTAAGCGGGTGGGGACATCCCTTTGCCCAGTCCTCTCTTCTCCAGAGGGCGTGGTCCTCATAGATCTTTCCTTCCCAGCCCCGCTGACCCAGCGACTGGCTGGCAGCCTTGGAGGCATGGGCCCAGCTGGTGAGCAGGAGCCTTGGAGAAGGGGAGGTGATGGCAAGGGAGTTCATGGCCCCCTTCAAATGTGTGGGGCACAGCGGTAGGAAGAGTACTACCCTCCTTGACCCTCATCCCCAGTCCAGCATCTCCTTTAGACCTGTTTCCCTGGGTTCTTCCCAAACTCTTTATAGATTCCCCTTGGCTCCCTCCTGGCTGCTCCAACTCACATGTGCTGCTTTCGAATAAAGGAACTTGGAACCACAGAAACTGGGTCAGGCCCAATGGATAGATCAGCCAGCGAAAGCAGAGTTTGCAGGTCCTTGGGAGCCACAGGGCCTTCTGTCTCCCCTCATTCCTGCCTAACCCAGTGGTTCACTCAACTGGGGCCTCGTGATCACTCAGACACCTCCCCGGGTCACTGGGCAGCCTCACAGGGGTGGGTCAGGCAGGCCCAAGCACGTCAGAGGCACGGGACCCTGGAGCCTCCACTCGCTATCTGCTCGTGAAGCCTTCCTCTTTGTCTGTGGTCCTCCATTCCCTTTTTCCCCCTTGGCTTCAGAGAGCATCTTGTGATTCCAGAATCACGGCCAAACAATTTCCTCGTGATGGGGAAACCACACTCCAGCCACGGGAGCCCTAGGCTCCCCCTCTTCTTCCCTCTGGCAGTCTCCCTTCCCCCAGCTCCTTCACTGGCTCCAGCTGTTTTGCAGAACTCCCACTGGATAACATCTGTAATTACCTCCAGATGTGGACCACAAAAACAAAAAGGGCCATGAGCTCATCTTTTGAGTTCCTTGCCACATGCACGAACCCCACCACCCCTAGATGCCCCTGACTTGCCCATGCTGCGTTCCTGTGGTCCCCATCCCCTCCAGTGAGGATGGTGGGGAGGAGATGTCCAGCACCACTGAGACATAGAGGACTGCCAAACAGCTGTTGGCAGGGGAGGAGCAGGAGGCCAGGCACAGGGTCAGGGTTCCTGACAGGAAGGTGGGGTACCCCTTCTGCCAAAGCAATCACACCAAGAAGCCTTGAATAGCAGCTGGATGAAGGAGTAGAGTAGGTGGGGCCAAGGTTCTTCGAGGCAGGGTGTGGAGGGGGCCTGGGCTGGAGCCCGGTGGGCTGGGCTGAGGCAGGAAGGGAAGGCGGGTGAGGGAAGGGGGCTGCTCTCTTCCAGCTGAGCTGACTCAGCAACTGGGCTGATTCCTCCCTTCAGGCTGGATTCGGAGGAAGGGCGGGTAGACAGCCTGGGAACCCAGTCTAGGGTAGCAGTTTCTAAGGAAAGAGGAAACAAAGCCTTGTTATTCTGCCCTTCCAACCTGACCATCCTGGCTCTCCTGGGCAATTGAGGGGAGGTCAGTTTTTCCAGAGGCAGGCTGCTCCCAATAGGCCTTGGGGCAACCTCTTTCTCTTTCCTTTCCTTCTGTCCCAGCAGCAGAGGCCCAGGCTCAGAAAAACTTTGGCTCCCAAGGGCCTTCACTGAGCCTGGGGCTGAATATGATCATGGGAATACCCCTGCTGCAGGCAGAGGCATGAGGAAACTGAGGTCTGTGGCCAGATCACACGACATGGTAATGCAGTTTAGGAAGATTTTCCAAGTGGCCTCAGCTTGATCACTTCCTCTTATCTTTGGCAGCCTTCAGTCTCAAAACTAGTCTTTTAAGGCAGGTTGGGGGAGAGCAACCCTTCCCCAGTGGGGTGTGCCTTGCTCCCCAACTCTGGCCCTTGAATCCCATTAGTTTGCTAAGAATAAACATTCTTTTATGAAAAATTACCAAAACTATTTCAGGGAAAGCGCTGCTCAAGACACCTGCTCTCCTTTCCAGCCCGCCATCCACATCCCTCTCACCCCTATACAGAACTGCAGTCACACAGAGAATGTGAAACACAGTTTATTCTTTGTGAAAAGGTTGAACAAGGTCAAAAATGTCCTTAGAGGGCACTGACCCAGCCCCGCCCTGCAGGTTCCTGGGGTCAGATGCCTCTGCCCCCCACCCCCACCCTACCCCCCTGCCCCTTGTTAACAAAAAGGAACAATTTGAATGAAGTTCATATATAATAATTATAATAAAAATATACATTAAACAAAAAAACAAACAAACAAGACAGAAATTTAGCCGAACTGCCAGCACCGTCCACCCCATTTCCCCTACCCCCATCCCTCACCTCCCTGACATCCCTCTCCTCTAGCTCCCTCCACAGGGTGTTGCTCTCCCAAGTCCCCAGTACCATGACTACCTTCAGTGGCTGAAGGAGACTTAAAATGGGTGGGCTGGGTGTGAGAAGGAGGACAGGACACTGATAAGATGGGCTGAGGAGTGCGGGCGTCAGGGAGGTGGGGGGCTAACCACACTGAGCAGCACCCAGGCACCTGCTCTTCACTGGGGTGAAAGGCAGCCTGAGTGTTGCCAGGCCTCAGGGAACCTCCTCTGGTCCCACAAACAGGTGGCCTCTCTCCATAAGTCCTCCAAGTCCCCAGTGCCCTTTTTGTTCCTTTCTCTGGGCTTCTTGCCCAGAGGAAGGGGACAAAGAGGAGCCAGTGTGCCTTCCTCAGGACTTTCCTGAGAGCTCCAATAAAATGTGCCTTCCCCTGGGTACCACCGCCCAACTTGTGATGCCCCTGTGGCCACCCAGCCCTCAACCATCTACTGCTGCTACTCTTCATTTCCTGTCCCCTCTGACTCTGGCCCTTGGGTCCCAGCCCCAGCTGCCTGTATTTGAACAAGGTTCTTCTGTGGCCTTCAGGATCTGCAGGTCTGAAGCCCTGGGTGTCTCCCCTTGGCCCCATTCCAACTTGGGCTTTACCTCCTGGTTTCAGCTCTTCCAACCTTGAAATTCCCATTCAAGGCTAACATTCAAGAGGGGTTAGGGCTGCCAAGGGTTTCTTCAGCCCCAGTTTAGTCCTTAATGGCTCAGGCTATTTCTTTGGAAATTCTCCGGGGTAAGTGGGGCAGAGGCAGATCTTTGTGGGGAGGAACTCAACTGACCAAGCCACTAAGACCCTCTCTGAGTTCTCCTCCTGAGGTCTTAGGTGGCAGAGCAATCCCCACCCTCTCACACTTTCTCAGGGCCTCTGCCCCATAACACGATTAGATTCCTTTTTAGCCAAAGAGTGGTGGGAGGCTGCCAAATGGGTACACCTGGGGCTTGTGGGGCTGGAGTGCCCAGAGCCTCCTGAGGTCAGAGTTCAGAGGTTTAAGGTATGTCAGGGGATGGAAAAGGAGCAGATGACCTCATCTGACCTTTGCCAGTGAGGACTGAGGGTCATGCCTTCAAGTGCAGAGCCCCCAAGACATTCAAAAGGGGCCGAACACACACCAAGCTATAGGGTTCCCCTGAGGATCAGAGGCTAGAAGGGACCACCCTCCTGCTCAGGCCTCAGGGGCCCCATCTGGGGAAGAAGCAATGCCAGGGGTGAGGGTGGGAGAGGCCAGTCAGGGGACAGACAGAAGGGAGGCTGGAGAAAGGGGGCTCAGGACGGGTGGGAGCAGCCCACCCACCACCACCTGCTGCCACTGGCCATCAGAGGCGAAGTTCTTGTGGTAGGAGTGGGTGGGCCGGCGGTGGGGGTCAGACCTTGTCCAGCAGGGAGCGCTGGCAGTAAAGCAGTCGCTTGGGAGTCCCATGGCGTCTGAAGAAGAAGACGGCGAGGCCCACTGCCAGCACCAGGAGCAGCAGCAGCACAGGCAGCACTACGGCAGCTGCGCTCACAGCCCCGCTGCCCTCCTCGTCCACCTCGATGATGATCACCTCTGTCTCTTCCTCAGTCCCCTCGTCAGGTCGGCCCCCTGATGGGCAGCCCATCCAGTCCCGTAGGGCCGACTTGGGATAGCCTGGCTCTACCTTCAGCTTCTGGTTGTTGAATTTCCAGTATTTGTTCCCTTTGTAGAAGTAAGTGAAGACTGCAGGGGTCAACAGGAAGGAGGACAAGAGACAGGGCAGGTGGAAAGGTCCCAAAGGAGAAGAACAGAAGGAAGTTGTTAGTGTGACATCAGCTGAGCTCACCTGCACCTTTCGGAGCATCAGTTTCCTCAGCTATAAAATGGAGGCAATGATAGTACCAGGTTGGGAGAGGGGCAGGGCTCATGGGATATGACCATGAATGCACCAGCCCAGTCCCTGGCACATGGTAAGGGACTTACCATCCACCTTGTTTTCCCTACGATGTTCTGTTTTCCTTATCTCTCTATTCCCACCCTCCTCTCATGGACACCTTTCTTTGTCCCACTCACCTTCATCACTGCCCATGAATGACCCTCTGGGAGACTCAGGGATTCCTTCCCAGACTTTGATATTTTTGGGATACTCGCTGTCCACTGCCCTGAACTCCTCATTGAAACGGTAGTACCTGGGGGAGGGGAGGGGAAGTGGTTGGACACGGCATGTCCTTTGAGTGTACCAGGAATCAGGACAGAATGCAACAGTAGACAAAGAGTAGCTGTGGACAGGGTGGGGGGCCGGGGGTTTTGAGTAATGAGAGCCTGCAGCTGAAAGTGGCGGAAGGAGGAGGTAGAAGGGAGGGCCCGGGCTGCAAGAAGCCACCAGCAGCCCTTAATGACAGTGCCTGGCTGCTGGGGCAGAGGCACAGTGCCGGGGGCAGGAGGCGTCAAATGACCAGGTTTGAAATGGTGACCCGGTCACATCCCACTCACAAGGCACCCAACAGAGGCTGCCCATTGCTAGGCAACAGTGGAGGCTCATTCAGCAACTT